TGGCTGGAAAGAGGTGGAGGAAAGGCATATGATTATGCCTTTGGCTACTAGCAGGCCATTAGAAAGACTCTACAGCACCTCTGCATCCCTTACTTGGGATGTGTACAGCTGTACTCATGTATTCATCCAGTCTTGGAGCAATGCATACGTATATGCTTTGTTGCCAGTGTCCAGGTGCTTAGCAGGTGTACTGAAAACATAAAACCTGGAGGCTCAGATTCCTGACTGTAGATGCATACAACCTAGCTGTGTGCCCTAATTAATACACAAGTGGCTACTTCGGGTGTCTCACTCTCTCCTCATGATTTCCCCCAATGGAAGACTGTAAACATCTCCAGATTTCATCCAGGTATGGAATCGGGAGGTCCACTCTCAAAGTGCCCCATACCTACTTCTATATTCTCTTCTCTTCTGCAGCCTCTTATTATTGTGCTGCTGCTCTCTAAAAGGAACAGGAGACTTGCAGACTTGGCAAATGGGTTTAGACTTGTTTCCCCAGGGGTATCAGTGTAGTGCAGCTGACCTTGCCCTGAGCCAGCAGAGCCTGTTCATCAGGACTGTGCCCAGCGCCTCATCTGCATCGTGTCCTGCCCTTCACCAACTGCAGTGAGCTGAAGTCTGTACCTAATAGTGCACAAAGAGTTGAGTGGGTTTAATTCTCTTGCATAAGGCTGGCTGGCACTGCCATTTGAAACATGTTCTTTTAAGAAGATAGTTGAGTTTTTTCTATAGTCAGTGTGTGAAGGTGAGAGCCTTTTGGCTTCCAGGCACAGAGTGCAGAGAGATGCTTAGGAAGGTAGCAGGTATTTTGACTAGTTCACTGCTAATTATTGCTTCAGTAAACAACAGCTGTTCAGATGCAGCTCAGCTTCTTGCTTTGAAAAGATTGCAGTGCCCAAACTGTAGTCTCGTATTATTGAAAAAAGAAAAAAAATGTTATAATCATTTCACTCCCCTACTGCTACAGATTTTATGGGCCTTGTAGTGCGCTGTTATGTCAGGCATATTAATTGCTAGTGAGTCGATGTTAAGCAAATGGAACAGCTTTGTGCAGCGTTTGGACACTCGGTTATAGACGGTTTAACAGCAGTCTTCTGGAGAGGCTCTGCATTAGTCTTAGATTATTTCTCAGCGCTAGAGAAATGGCTCTTTCAAAGTAACTATAAAATGAACCGTTGCTGCCAAGCAATAGCAGTAATAAGCTGTGAAGGTACCTTGCGAAGCATGAGGTCAGAGGCAGTGTGTTCTTCCAGCCACCCAAGAAGCGTAATAGCAACTAATTAGCACAGCTCCTTCAGAGGCTATTGCTATTGTAACAGGAGGAAAGAAAGGCAGGAAAGTGCAAGGGGTGGGGGCTACTGTTGCTATCTGCCCTTTAGATGAAGGAGTTGTTGGTATTAACTTAGCGGAGGGTGAAGGCCTGACCTGGCACAGCGCTGAGTGTCACTGATGTGCTCTTGCCACTGAAAAGAAAAATGGCCCTGTTCCCTGCTCCATGCAGCTTCTGCCCTTCTGCTTTCTTCCCGAGGAGCAGGATTTATAGGGGCATCTGATTTGATTTATGGAGGAGTGAAATCCCAAATTAACCACCCAGGCACACACTTTGCAGCGCAACGCCACACAGCCCTTCCTCTCCTCCCTCGCCAAGCTGCCATTACCTACAGCGGCTGGTGGGCCAGGCAGCCTGGTGTTTGAGTTGGCCGCTGCGGTGCCCGGCCAGCCCGTGTGCCAGGCACCAAGGTGGCTCCGTGCAGGGCGTTCCCCTGCACACACGCCCAGAGAGGCTGCGGGAGCGCTGCTCTGCGGCTGAAGCAGTTGGTCTCTGTGCTGTGGTGTTGGGCAGGCAGTGGATAAAAGCTACCTGTAAAGTGCAGTTAAAAACAAAATACACACGTATTTTACTAAATGCATGTACCAGCAACCAAGCTGGCACTCTTTGACTGCATTTAGTAAGGAACGAGGTAGTGTTGCAGGAAGGCAGTGGGGCATTAGGTAGGGAGCTTGGGCTGCCTTTCCAGGGTGTGTGCCAAACGCTACATGGTGTCCAGATGCCCATGGCGAGCTGACTAGTGCTTGCTCTAGGTGAGGTGGGATCTAGCTATTTTTTTATTAATTTATTCAATGTCGTGATATCTTAACGTTGTGGTTTTTTGCCATTTCATTTCATTTACGAGCTGGGGGCCGCGCCGCCCTCCCTGAGCCGCTAAAATGGCTGCTAAGGCGCTCCGTGTCGCCCCGAGGGCCGCTGTCCCCCTGCCCGCCAGGGGGCACGCGAGCCACGGCCGCGCCGCGCTGAGAGTAGCCGGGCCGGGCCGCTCGCTGAGCCGCTGCCGCAGCTGCTGCGGTCCGGATGCCGTGCGCCCGGACAAGAAGCAGCACGCTCGGGGCTTGGGGCGCCCTTTAATCTTTCCTCTGTTACAGTAGGAGTTCCACTGCGAAGTAAGGAAGGAGCAAGGAGTGAGCGATTTCCTATCGGTTGTTATTTGTGAAGTAGACTAAATAGGTCAGCAGTGTGCCTGCATGCAAGCTTGTCCTAGTGCTGCTGCGGGCATCAGCTCTTCATTTTGCACCGAGTAATGACTAGCTGTTGTCCCACCGTCAGCACGGCTCAGAGAGCATGAAACACCTGGGAAGGAGTGGGAAGAGTCGATAATTGAGGGCAGTGTATGCTCAGGGCAAAGTGCAGTCACTGTTGGTATAGACAGGGTTTGTCTTTTTTTTATTTTTTATTTTTATTTTTTTATTTTTTAAACCTAAGCACTGCCTCTGGATACTTTGGAGACACAAACAGGCAGATTGGAAGTACTGGTTCCTGCTTTGTTCACGAAAGGAATGTAATAGAAAGTGACTTTATTTTAGTTAGTTTTAATAATCAGCTGCGATAAAGAGTACGTGGAAACCAAAGAATGATTTTTAAAGAAGCCACAACCTCACACTGCCTGTTTAGAAAGGCGAGGCTTTTAGAGTCATTTTTTGTTGGCTTTGGGGTGTTTCAGGGCTGGAGAAGGGTGAGGTATAGAGGAAGGCAAACCCTAACCTCTGGCACGATGTTTGCATGTTTGCGGGAGTTAGAAAGTTTCCCTGTTGGAGTCTGCAGTGGGATTGAATGGGCCATGCTGTCATCCAGCCAAACGGCTATCGCCAGCAGCCGTCAAATGGAGTAATTCCAACAACCTCCTTGGTTTTGCCAAAAGCTTCTGGAAAATTCTTTCCCCATGCTTTGTGCTAGGAATCTTCCCGCCTCGTTTAGCACTGAATGTGAATTTATCAGAAACACATTCTTGGCTGCTGCTTCCCCCTCTCTCACTTCGAAGGACTTTACTGCGCTGTGTTGGTTTTTTTTTCCCTCTGGAGGCACTTACAGTGTATTGTCAAGGCATCCTTTGGCACTTTTTTTTTTACTGGTGAGCTGTTTAAATCTTTTCCTGCCAGCTGGTTTTTTTTTTTCTTCTTTTTTTTTTTTTTTTTCTTTCTCCTAAGCCTCAGACCTATTTGTGATGTCTCCATGTGCACCCTCTCCAGGGTTTAACAGCTTCCTACACCTGAACTGTACGTAAGAGTAGCGTTGCCAGCGCCATATGCAGAGATAACATTGCTTCCCTGTTTCCCTTGTTTAACAAGGCTGATAATCTCATTGAGCTGCTCCACCCCAATGAGCTCTTCCTTGCCACCACTATTGTACTGGAACCTCACAATGAGTTATTTATCTGTTATGCACTCCTCATTCTTTCCAGTGCTTGCTTTCTTGTAGGCTGCTATGTACCTTTCATAGTGAGATTTGCATTTTTTATTCTGAGATCTTTTGCTTCTGGAGTTGCCTGTATTAAAAAGCATTTTGTTTGAATGGGCTCACTTCAGCGAGTGATCCATATTGTTCTGTATTACTGCTCTGTCCCAGCTGTTATTTGCCTCTTCATCAAATTTTGTCATCTGCAGATGTTAGCATCGCTGATTTTTTTATATGTACTCCTCTGTCATTGCAGAAGATGGGAACTAGCACCTGGTCCCAGTCTTACGGCTTTGTGCCCCCTCTTGTTCTTTCAGATTTGCCCAGTAGCTCTTGTCAGTGAACACGGGTAGGGTGTTTTTGTTTGGTTTTTTTTTTTTTTTTTTTTTACAGCATCAAGAACATGCCTGTGGTCATTTCCAGATTTTAATTCTTGAGCTGATTTCTCTATTACTAGCTTTCCCTATGCTATTCATTTTCTTCCTCTCCTATTTATTTATTTAAATTGAGGTGAGGTTAACTGGTTCATTAGATAGCCATTTGTGTCATTTCAATTTCAGATTTGTTCCTGGGCTTGGAATGTAGAACTACTTCATTGTGTTGGGTTAGCAATTATTTCCCGTGTGCCTCTGTAATGCATGGCACTCTCTGCACTGTCTCAGACAGCTTAAGCGTGATTGAGTAACTAGAGCCAGCTGAAACATGTTGCCTTCCAGCCCTGTTCTTAGTTTCTGAACTTCTTCCTTTTCCTCCTGAATCCCAGAAGGCTTTATTAAGACAGCTTTCGGGGTGCCATTAATTCTAAGCTGCATAATTACCTTACTATTAGCTCCGTTTATAGTAGGAAAAAAGTGCTGTACGTTGCTAGAAATTTATATTTCTCAAAGTCAAAATTTATACTTCGTAAATTAAAAAGTTTGCTTCATTTACCTAGGAATAATGTATAGTAATTAACAGCAGGAGAATTTGCCTGCAGAACTATTGAATGCAAAGAGGTAGGTTTTGTGAAAACGTGATGCCCTAATGAGCCACTGTGTTACACTTGCTTCCGAAATTGCACATAAGACCATTACGTATTTTAAGAAAGCCAAGCTTATGCTGTTCAGCATGCTCTGTTTAGCAGTGGGAAACAATATTTAGAATACTTATCTTTACTGTTTACTGTTCTGTTCTAATGTCAACCTTGTACCACCTCAAACTTGAATGTGTTTGTGAAGCTAGAAATCAGGCCAGGCTTTTTTTTTTTTAATTTTTTTTTTTTTTTTTTCTTAAGGAATATGTGTAAGGAATAATGCTGCTGGGCTAAACCTCATGCCAGTATTTGTGTGACACTGTGGGACTTTACGGTCATTGCTGCGTTTCAGACCAGGTAAGGTCACCTCTTTTTCTCTTTCCCTGTTCAGTTATCCCCAGCATATCTCAGTACTGAATCAGCCAGACTGTGCTTGAGTGTGTTCTTCGTCCTGTGTCACCTGACACTGCTACCTGTGATGTCCAGCGTTGTAGGATCTGATTAGGAGGTGGCATGGGAAACAAACCTTTGGACCATGTTTTCCCTGTCAAAAACCACAGACCATTTTAGTGATCTAAAACTGTGCGATTAGTTTTAGTGCAACACATACTCTGTTTCCTGAGATGAAGAGAGGAGCTGCATTTTGTCTGGGCTTTGTTCATGAAGTAATTTCAAGTGCTGGCATCCTTATTTGTATTATTACTGAGGTTGAAAAAGGGCCACGAAGGAGTGGGGCTTTTCTATTAGTAGTATTTTGACTGTTTTCTTGGTTCAAACCTAGGCACTCACACAGTTACATTTTGCCTCACATGGTCACTCTGCCATAAAGATAAAAACTTCAGATGAAAAATTAAGTCTTGGCTGCTGTCTTATCAGTTTGATGGCTGTAGATGTTGTGTTCCTTCTTCCTAGGGGGATGACAGTTGGCACTTCCTTGTTAATTAGCTAGTTTCATTTTTGGCTTTATTTTTGATCAGTGAGCCCCAGAAACTTGTGTGTGCAAACATCCATTTAATTTATAAGCATGGCATATTTAGTACTTTGCACTAATTGGCTGTAACTGAGAAGCTGATAAGTCTGGTCAGTTTAGATGTGGCTTTGCAGTTGGGGATGATTTCACTGTGCATGTGGTGTTCTGTTGATGCTGTGTGATGCTCTCTGGCTTATCATTAACCCTGGCAACTTCTAGTAAGTGTCAGATAGGCGGCTTCTAATAAGCTGCTTAGAAACTGTTTCAAGTACATATCTTTGCTTTGCATTTCCCATCCCCAAAGTACTATCCACTAGTCCTCCCTTGCAAAGGTTCTGAAGCCAGCCACGTGTATAGCTATTAACAGTAAACCAAGGTATTAACGTGCTTAGATTTTTAAGTAAGTGAAGTGCCTTTAAGAAATAGCATACAGACTCAAAACTGTGTTTTAATTCAGCAAGGTTTAAACTCGGGAATGGAAGACAGAATTCAAACATTTTATCGTGATTCAGATTCAGACTCAGATTCTCTGCAAACGAAATCTATTCTCTCATAGACAGTCTTTTTAAACTGTTATTTTATGCAGTGTTTCTTCTTTTACAGTCTTTCAGCCATCATTTTAAAAGTGCCTCTGAAGAGTGGCAGTGGTAACTGGCATTTTTTTCCTTGTCAAATGCAAATCTCTCACCTCCCAAGTGTGAACACACAAAGCTCTCTTACTGGCTTTTTTTTTTTTTTTTTTTTTTTTTTAAGCAAAATTAGGGCACAGTTAGCTAAGCAGAGTGACCTGATTCATGCTGGATCAACATGTTATCAACTTGAGGTTGTCACTACAAAGTAAGTGTGGTGAAGTCTGCCTGTTCCAACTAAAATCAAAGCTGTCTCCTGACAAGGTAGTGCTGAAGTCAGCAGTTTCTACAAAGTGGGTTTAAATGCAGATTGAAGGATCTCTTCAGTGTATGTATGTAACTAACAGCGCCAACCTAATTATTTATAATCAAATATTTTTTTTGTCATATTTCTTACTCTGGGGGATACGAGAGAAAACAGTTCTAAGTGATTTCTTTTTTTGCTCTTTGGCTTTTCCTTATCTACAAAAGATTTGTCTTGGTGAAGTATATTTCATGTTCTCTCTAAAGTAGGCCACCTTAGAGATCCCATGGAGTAATTCACTTTGCTGAGTTAGCAGACTAAGGCATTGGATGGTCGGGGGGAGGGGGGAAGACAACCGACTGTGAAACAAATGAATCAATACCAGTGCAACTGGATCAGTGTGCTTCTTCCGATAGAACCACAAAAGCAATAGTGCAGCTGTAATACCTGGCATACAGATTTAAAAGACAAATATAAACACACATACACACACACACACATTGGGTTGGCTTTTATTGGAAAGCCTAGATGCAATCTATAGTTATCAATTTGTGGAAAATTCAGGACACATAGAAAGTTAAGAAGGCAAATTAAAAGAACAATACAAATCAGATGAAATATACATCTCAAAATATCAGGATAGCATTTTGACTGGCATTGCCTAAAATACTTAATCTCCTTTCTTTTTTTTCTTTTTTTTTCTTTGAAATATGCTTCTTTTAACCATACATATTGTAACTTTAAAAAGATCTTTCTTTTGTTTATATATTCCCCAAGGTCACTATTTCCTGCAGGAGCATGTCCAGATCACAAGTCTTTTTTAGCAAGAAATAGGCTCGTTATACCTACTAACAAGGTCACTAATTGGCTTGATTTGACTTTATTTAAAATGATCACCAGCAGATATTATAATTTGTTGTTTATTGGTGCCAGAACAAAGGAGAAGGAACTGGTACGCGTCAAGTAGAAGATATATTTCATTGTTGATATGTTATACACGCTTTTCATATTCAAACAGAACAGAAACATTTGACATAATTTAGAATATGAGCCTATTTCAACAGAGAGCACTTACAGCATGCTAAATACAGTGCTGTGGAAGAGCCACCCAACAGAACTGCAAACACCTAGCATTTTACATCTTTAAATAATACGTAGATCACACACCTCTGGGGTCTGGCATATTGTCCTCGCTAAATTTAGGGCCCTCAAGGCTTCAAGGGTAGAAATACTAACAACTATTCTGTGCTTTCATTCTAATAGATGATTAGCATTCATTATATGTGTAATTAGTTCTGTATGCTCTACCAAATACACACGTACAGTTACAGCACTGATCCTGTAGATTTGGTAGCAACTTGGCCGGCAGAAATTCAAATCTGTTAATCAATCCTAATGTGCAATTTAGAGTATGTAATACCATAGACTCTCAGAATACAAAGCAGATAGAAAACTATTTTTATTACATCCACTTGAACCATTCATAATTAAGACACGTTCACTTACTATGTTTTGTCATTATAATACATGGATAGAAATAACTGTGTATATTTCAATGAACATCAAAAAACCCCAATTTCGTCTCATCTTAAAAATATTTGTTTTTGTGGCTGAATTGAGTGCTCATGAGAGTAAAGCTCAGAGAATGTTTTCAGCCAAGATATAGAACAGATGCCATAGATGCCCCTGCAGGCTTCCTGTAAGGAACCAGCTGCATGCTTCAGTTACGTCTTACAGCAGATATGCTGGACCTTGGAGCAGAGCATGCCAAATCTGTGCAGTGGTGTTGAGATGCAGAATAGGCACTAGGATTAGACCTTCCTTTCCATCCCCATGTTGAGTTTTCACAGTAATGGGATGTGATCTGGCAGCTGAAGGCCAGGAGATGAACCTACTGAACAGCCTGCCTGCCTAAAGAGCAATTTTGTAGCATCAGGTCAGAGGTACGCTTCTTCTATCTATCTGGAATTATAACATCTAAAAGAGCTGTACTATACAGAAGACAAAGTTGACATAACTGGATGAAACTACACCATTTCTTCTTCTTCTTCTACGTACAGTTTGCCAAGCACCTGAGACACTACTCTCTCCATTGTGAAACAGAGCTTCTAAAAAAACAACAGAAAGCCCACTTGGTATGAATAAATGTCCATTTATTACATTAGGGCTGGAAAAAGACAAGGAAAACCCAACCTATTAAAGTCTTCCATCATAATAAACGAGACTTATTTGGTTACTGTGCCTTCTAACAATGATGAAGTGGCACTGGCCTGGGTGACAGGAGAGGTAGGGGAGGGAAGGGAGCTGCAGTCTGATTCAGCCAGCCACTTTGGAGTGTTCCATCCTATCAGCAGAGTGATAGATGCACAGCTTTAAACCTAATACAAAAATATTAACACTTTTGGACATTAGTAATCACTGTTATATCTCTACAATATAATACTTTATACTGTACAGCTATAACATAAAAGGTGCAATTCCTTTTTCTTTAAAAAAATCACACACAGCACATGTTTTTATCATTTTATTTTTAAGTATAAACTTTTTTAAACACTTTACATAAATTAACTCCTCTGAGACTAATATTTGATGTACAGTAAATTGTAATTCATATAAAAATCCATAAACAACTTGTCTCACATAATTTACAAAAAAATCAGGGTTTCCTTTGCTTATCTGTAACAAGGATTCTACTTGCCGTTTTATTCCCCCCAAGGCAAAGCACGTTAGCATTGTAAAATCCATTATTAAATTCCCATGGTAGCATAAGTCACTTGTGCCAATGTCCTTTTAGAAAGCAGCACAGTTTAAAGCAGTTGAGTTGTCTATAAACAGTAATTTTTGTCCCACATTTTAAAATTAACAGATATATACCACATCCTATGCAGTGATAAAGAGAAAAAGAGAGAGAAAGAGAGAGACTACTTCTCGTAAGCAAAGGTCAACAATTCAGTAATATTTGGAAACACTGTACAGGTCTGTATCTTAATTAAATACAGTGCCTCAGGACAACAGACAGACTGTTGCAAAATCTTTAGGCCTTTTTTTCTTCTTTTTTTTTAATTAATACTTTTCAGTCCAACTTGAGTGCAGCGATATGCATATGTAAACATATTCTTTAAAGCAGATCACCTTTAAGGTCATTGAGAAAAAAAAAAAAGTTTTGTCATTAGCAGTATCATTCTTCTGGAAGGCGCTCTTTTCATTACAGAGTCCGTTCAGATTGTGCTACAGAAAAATCTGAGCAAAGATGTAAGCTTAGGCTCAAGTAGTAATGCAGCAAAACAGTTTGGTCTCCTTTTTAGAAGACACTGGTACACAGTCTCTTTGGCAGCCTGAGCTAAGCCAGTGTGTTACCTCTTTCCTATCTCACTTTGTCTGAGGAACTGTATATTGTTGGCGCTGTCTGCTAATTCTGGATATTGCTCCACAGAGAGTACATAGTACCCATCATATCCTTGTACCTTTCCAGCACTTAGCAACTGCCTCTTTTCTCCTTCTGTCCACAGCCTGGCACCTTCCTCTCCATCCCTTACTCTCTGTTGTTCCCTGGCCCAGGCACTGGAAAGAGCTCTTTGCCTGGCTTGCTCCAGTATTCGGGCTTTTTCCTCATCGAGCGTCATGCCGTATCGGACATGAAGCGCTAACGCACCGTACTGCATTTCAACATCGGCAAACCTACGAGTCCTGCCGTTCACCACGGTGGTGGACTGGGACACGGTGACGTTGATGCCGTTCTCCAGGGCCTTCCGCCCGCTGGTCAGCCGCAGCGTCCCAAGGTCACTCTCCGGGGAGGTGGTCTTGATAAAATAGTGCGTGTCTTTGCCCTCAACGGTGAAATGTAAGTTTTCTAGGTAGTAGGCGTTGTTCAGAACGGCTGCCACTTTGATGCAGTCCTCATTTGCAATGTTGAGCACATTTGTCTGCACTTTTCCTTGATTGACAGCGAGCATCACCCCTTTCCCGATCAGAGACTTCACTGTGGCAAACCACAGCCACGACTTCTCTCCGCTGGATTTCCGTCTGCTGACCTGCACTTCTGCCATCTTTCCCAGGGAAAGGAAAGCCTTTGCTTGTCTCGCCACTTGTTGTTGCACTCCAGAAATTGGCTGTAAACAAGAACAGACAGAAGTTTTACCAACCATCTGTAGCCCTCTGGATGCCAAGTGGGCAGGCTTTCTTGGTGTACTGCCCATGGATGACAACAGGATATGCTGCCACTGACAGTGCCAAGGAACTAATTAAATCTACATACTGCTTGTTCTACTGAGCTACAAGATTATTTGGTTTGATAATGCTCTGTGTTTTTTTCTCTTTGTCTCCCTGCACATGCAGGAAAAAATTCTGTTTATTTCAGAGGCTACTTGGAGGGGCTAATTTTGTAATGTAAATTTTGCAGTGCTAATACCTAGTACAGGAAAGAGTTGCCTTTCTTTCTATAGTGTTATCTCATCATTTGAGCTTGTTCAATTATGATTCCTGTCTACCATAGTTTCATCTAAATCGAGGGGATTTTTGTGGGCCATGAAGCTGTGATTCAGAACAAGAACAAGCCTTTCTTTGTGCCCAGTCAGGAGGTTGATAGATGTAGTCTCTGAGGTAGCTGCAGTCTAAGACCAAACTGCAGGGAAGCTCTCACAACCCCTGAAGCTAAAGGAAGGGGCAGTCAAACCATGAGGATAGTCTTTATGGTAAGAGAAAAGGAGGTAAATAGTGCAGAGTGGAGGAGTGGAGTATTAGGGACTGATGATCTTTCCTGCAAATATTTGAAGAAACTGATAAAAGGGTACATGTGAAAGAGCTGCAGCCTCTCCAGTTGTGTGAGCATCCGTTTAGCTTCAAGCATCAGCATGTTGGCTGAGACCTAAAACAGACAAGAACTCTCTCCAGAAGACATTAGAGGGGTGTAATCCTGAACACAGCAGAGTACTTTGTTGGCAAAGGGGGCAGTGAGTGAAAGTAAC